TAAAGGTCAAATAAGTTTTTACACATTATTCTATCTCTACTCTTTAGATTTTAAGTTTATTTTAATAATGATTCTCATTTACATTCCAGTATCTCATACTATAATTTTTCTTTATATTTCCCTTCTAACACAATACTTTATATCTTTTTCTGAAATTTAAATTAATACCTAATTTACTTCTTCAAACAATTATTTACATTCTTTATTCTAATACTTCTAAATATGTATGTTTCCCCAAACCTTTTAATAGTTGATTTAATTGGCTTTTTAAATCTGTCTTACATTTCCTTTCTCCTCTGATATATAATAGCTTTAAATAGTTTATTAAATAATCCAATATTTATTTAATTACTTATCTGATTTTAATTTTAAATTTTATTCAAAAGACAAGTTGATAAATTTTGAAATACATTGTTTTTACATTTAAGAAGAACTTTATGAATTTATTGATTGTAAATTTTTCAATCAATTAATTTAATGAAAGCCAAGTATAGTTAATAATCTTGATTATATAATGAAGCTTGAAAAAGAAAGCTTCATCTTGTTATGTTTTATTATATTTATTGTTGATCGAAGTGGATCTATGAGTGGATCAAGGATCAAAAAAACGAAGGAAGCTCTAATTCTTTTTCTAAAAAGTTTGCCTTAAGATTCTGATTTTAACCTAATCTCATTTGGTTGTGGATATTTTGTTATTTTTATTCATTATTCTATTAAAAATATGTCTTTCATAATAGTAATTATTCACCCTTATTTAAGAACTCCTAAGCATATTCATAAAAAATATTTGAACTAGCTATTATGGAAGTTGAAAAATGGATGCTGACATGGTAGGAACTCATATAATTGTACCTTTAATGGAGATGGGATATAATTCAAGTTATGGCACAATCAAAAATACAACTGATAGAGAGGATGCTGTTGATCCAATTAGTAAATTAGTTTAAAATAATAATCAAGCTCAAATCAGAATCTACTCTTTAGGAATAGGTAAAGGATGTAGTTAAAACTTGATCAAAAGAGTGGCTGAAGTAGGAAATGGCAAATGCTATATTGTTTGTAATAAAGAGGATATACATGAGAAAGTTATTGATCTATTAGAAGATTCATTAACACCATATTTGCAAGCTTTTAAATTAGAATCTAATCTATTTAATGTAGCCTCTATTGTTCCCTTCCAGAATCAATTGTTTGTTTAAAGAAAAATGAAGAACTTACAATCTAAATCTTTTTCCTATAGAGTAAGAATAAGAAAATCTAGAGTTTAAGATCATTTGTTTTGATCCCTAAAATTAAAAATAAATACAATATTCAGTAAACTTAAATCTGAAATAATCTTTAAACAATCAATATATTCATAAATTGGCTGCCTATAGATTTATTACTTATTATCAAAACTCAATACTGTATAAAACAGGTGAATTTTATCAAACTTAATAAGTAGAATCTTGATTAACAAGATATTATTAATTTATCTGTTTAAAATCAAATTCGATGTTCAAAAACTGCATTTGTAAACCAAATTTGTCATTTAGAGGATCAATTTCAGTTATAAATGTAATCAGTCAAAGAAGTATTGATCAAAATAATATCTAAATAGGTCGTAGATACAAAGACTGGAGAATTTTACTACTTTTATTAGCTCATCCAATTCAAAAGATATCAATAGTTAATCAAAAAAGGAAAAATGCATTTATTCAATTGTACTAAACAGAAAATGATATATTATTCTTATAGTTGCTCATATTATATGGAGCACTAGTGCTTCGATTAAAAATCAGATCAATAATTTTACTTTCTGAATAAATAATCAGACTTAGACAATAAGAACCTAAAGTTTTAACAATATAATATTACCTATTCACAAAGATTATAAATCATTGTCTTTCTTGTATATTTATAGAATACATCTATTTTTTTCATAAAATACTATATTTATTTATTGACGTACTTAAATTGAATCAGGATTATCTAAGTTTGTGGTTAGAAAAAGTGACTAAAACATTTCAAATGCCTTTATTTTGCATTCGCATCCAGGTTATTGCTTTCTTTATGTTCCTTTGCAATGAACTGGATTTAATTCCTTGCCTGCTATTGTATTACAAGTTATGGCTCATATATGCAATCGCTACTAATAGAGTCTCATTTAATTTTACACAACATGCAAAATAAAGAGAATGTGTAGTAATTGAAGGGATATGTGAAAGCATTGCAAGTTAAAGTGGGTTCTACATTAGCAGTCAAAAATAGAAATTTGAATACAATTATTCATCAAATATGCTCGAGAAAATTAAAGTTCATATTCGGTAATAGTGCATTTAGATGCAGAAATTCTTGTGTAAAAGTTGATCCATTTCGATAACAAGGTGCAAAAATTTTCTACTAAAATCTCGCAAAATGTATAATTATAATTCAACAATATTATATTCAGGTCAATCTAAAAATTAAAATTATTAGTTAATATTAATAGATTCACTCAATAAAATAAAAATGCGATTATTTCTTTAACAGAAGTACCGACCGACTTTTTTTAAGATAATTCAAATATAAAATATTTTAAAGATTCCTTTCACATATAATATCAACCTATATATCATGTTGATCTAAATTTTTGAAATTCCAACAATTAAAATTGAAAATATTAGGAAATATAATCTAAATTTGAAAGGTTTTTATATTAAACCCAAAGTTTAGTGGGGTACAACAAGAATTTAGTTTTTTTTACCAATAAATTATTTTTTAAATTATAATAAGATTATCCGCTTCAAGGAAGAGACAATCTATTATAATCTTAATCCTTAAATCATTTTCACCTTTGAGCATTTTTTACAATTGGTAAAGACATTATACTTCATTCTTCGCCCTCTCTTATAGAGATTCCAAAACTATGGCTTGTAATAAATATATAGATTATATTAAACATTGACACTATGAATTTTCAAATAAATTTCAAAGGAAGAACAGTTACATTAATATATAAATTCGAGATATGGCTAAAACTCAATAGAATTTAGTACTTCCTAAATTTTAAATGATTATACTTATAATATAGTAATTATTGTATCAATATTGGAAACACATACATTTTGTATGGATGCAATTGATTGGGTATATAGAGATTTATTTAGTAAAATCTCTGTTTTTTTTGAATAGACTTTCTTCCAATAACAGTTTTTTTATAACTTAAATTCTATTTGCTTAGCTAGATGAATAGGATTATTTTTAACTGTTTGTTACACAATAAAGATTTATGATTGAGCTCCAAATAAAGGAAATATATATTTAGTTTATAATATTTGTTTTTTTTGCCCTAAAATTGTGACCTTAAATGTCCTATACTGAAAGATTTCTTCATGCTTATTTCAAATGTTGCTCAATATGAATAATAAAGTACATAGAAAAATAAAAAAATTGGGCAGACATCATTCCTTTCAAATTGTAACAATCATTTAGATTAAAAATCCTGTGTGCATTAATATCATAAATATATAAACTATCTATTTATTGTTAAGATTCTCTTTCTGATTGTATTAAATTTAGTCAAGCTACTTTTTTAACCTATTTAAAATATTATTATTTAATTGAGCTTAAAACCAAGTACAGCATCAGGTGTCTATTAACCCCTAAGAATAAAAAATTAACTAATTTTAACTTTTATATTCGCCAAATTATTATTTATTTTAATTGAGACTCATGTCATTAATGAACTTCATATATTTAATCTATGTTGTTATACAACTTCTAATTTTGATTGTAGAAATTGAACCTGTACAGCCCATTTTAATTATAAATAGCTAGATCATATACGCTAGGTGTAAGTCCATCTGAAATTCCTACAAATTTTCTTTAAAGCTGCATGCTGACTTTAAACCACAGCTTACCCTCCATTTATTTATCATTTTTGACTTTCCTTATATCAGTATAGCAGCATTAATAGAGAATGTTACCCTGCTTGACAATATAAAAGCAATGCATAAGTATGTCGCAAATTGCACAGATTAACAATTGATGGTGTCAAAAAACGTTGAATTTCAAGTTCTCGTTCTCGAGAAGAATGAGCTTTAAGGTTATCCAAAAAAGTGGATAATTTGTGATCCATAATTTTCAATATTTTACTTAAGTAAATATTATCTGATATTCAATTAGCTTAATACAAAAATTACTCAATATCTCTATTAATTAAATATCCTAAAAATATTTTACAAGTATATTATTTTCTTCAATAAAGATTTGAATTTCTATTCAGCTAGTTAAGTTCAAGCTTGATACATTTTTATATAAATTTTTTTAAATTATATTTTATGATGTTGGATACTTCAAAATACAAATATAAATTGATAATCATAAGTAACAAACTTTCTAAAAGATTTAATACTAAAATCCACATTTTTAATTGTGTTCTATTCATTGCTTATTTAATAATCATATAAAAAAATATTCATATTAATATATAAGTCAAAAAAGAGCGCAATTAATTATATAGTAACGTTATTATATTGTATAAGGATCCATCTTCAAATAAATCTAAGATTAATATATAGTCAAAATTTTGTTGATAAATTGGTGTTAAAAGTTAATTATTTCTATAGATAAAATTAAATAGATCGATATTAGTTTGCATCTCCTTATTTCTAACCTTTATTTAGCTCTCTCCATGTAGCTTTGCATTCTTACATTTAGAAATTGTATTCGCTCTTTGAAATGATTTATTAAATAGAAACAGAAAGCTATTCTTAATATAATCACTTAAAACATTTATTGTTTATTGAAAATTAGGGGCAAAGAAGCATAAACTAAGTAACTTCGAACAAGTGGAATAAGATTAGCTATAAGATATAGAACTATAACAAGAGCTCTTTAGGCATTAATAAGTATCAACCAAAAATTTGCTTATAACATAAATACACAATCAGATGAGATGACTATAAATTGATTGGAAATTGGGTATTTAAACGCAAAATATGATTGATGTTATTTCAGACTGAGATTAATCTGTCTAGACATTGGTGATAAGCAAAATGTATTAATAGATAAGGATGCAACAGTTCAACATCGCTAAATGATTGATTATGATTTATAAGCTACAATTAATCATATATATTCTTCCTTCTCCAAGTTTTTCTAATGTAAATGGAGAGACTATCAAGAATGCCAATCCTCTTCATAAGTTTTTTATATGGTAACCCTACTATTTTCAAAAATGGGTTGAATAATAATTTACAGTTTTACTTGAAACGATAGTACCATATAGTTGCTCAATATGTAGGGAGAGAGGAGACAAGAAAAAGATTTTTTAACACATGAAATAAAATTAGTAAGAAATGAAAAATTTATGTTTAAATTAAAGATGATTAATTCCATGACATATCAGAATTCAAGGTGGAAAACTTTTATACAGATATTATGCTGTACGTTTTGGACTTTAACAGTGTTGCAAATTTTTCTCAAGTTTTCTATTCAAAAAACTTCATACACTATTTAAAGTCTTTCTCGAATTTATTCTTTATTAATTGAGTTACTTTTATATGTTTGTAAAAAGTAAATTATCTGGACTTTTTTGCATTTTACCCTCTTAGCTTGTATTTTGCAAGATGTTCTTAAAATTTCTGAATTGATTAACCTTATTCAAATACCGCCTTTATAATTATTATTAATCTGTGAATACACTTTGATGAGTTAGAAATAAAAGAAATTTATAAGGAACTCCTTATTTTTTCTTAGAATTAAAATAGCAAGGAATTGATGATAAGATAAATTAACTGATTCTTACAACATGCCGCGAAATAGAAGCTAAAGTTCTAGATAAATTTGAACCTTCTGTCTCAAAATAACTAGAGTTTGTAAGGGATCAGAGGAATATATAAGATTGGCGATGAGGAATCATTAATGATGGAGCATAGAAAATTATTCCTTAATGGAAAGTATAGGATCTATTTAATTACTTTTAAGTATGTACAAGAGATACATTAAAATTCTATTTTTTTAAGTAAAAATTCGACTAATGTTAAAATGCTTATACTTTTTTATAAATAGAATTTCAACAGAAATTTATAAATTAGTTTCAAAAGGTACATGAATCATATAATTTCTTATTAAAAAAATCTTCATATTATTATTGAATAGAATGCAAAAAGTGATTAGATTGGGACAAAGGAATAGAATGCAATATTTGAATAGAATTCCAAAGTAAGAGTAGAATTTGAAATTATATGTTGAAGGGGCAGGAGTATAGATTTGTGGGACAGTCACTTTAACATTCAAATTCGAAAAAGATGAGTTGCCATATGATCAAAAGAAATGCATTATAAATGATCATTTTCTAAGATGCGGCGAATAAAAATAATTCATTTAACCGCTCGATCTGAATATTGAGTATTGTTATATTGTAGATGAAAAAGAAGTTATTAGATTGGATGTCGATGACTATGATCTGGATGACATTTCTGACTTTGAAGATTACTAAAATTGGGATGAGTAAAATTTTTCTAGATTTTTTGTTGAGGATTTCACTAACAGTCCAGATAATCGATATATAATTTTAGTGGTTGGCGTAGATATTGTAAATAAATATGAAACTTAAAGATTAATTATAATTGACACATTCACTTCAAATATCAAAAAATTGTTTTCCACAACTCATTTTATAGGATTCTAAAAACCTTTATTTTCCAAGGATGGCAACTTAGCTTTCATCAATATTACAAAAAGTGAGTAATCAAGGTTCCTAATATTGAATCTTAAAAATGGAATATAAGAAGAAAAAATCATTACATTGCCTCATTCAATTAGAAAAATAGATTATGATGTCTAATCTGGATGTTTGTTTTATGTAACTAATAATTGCCAAATACACCAATAGCCTTTGAATTAAGATGGCACTATTGATATCTCTAAGGAAAAAATCTATAAAATTGATTGGAAATAAATCAATTTTTTTAGTGATTCCATAACTCTCACTCTACTTAGTGATTCAATTGTACTTCTTGCAGATGATTCAGGCCAGCTTTTTGTTTTTAGAATTAGAAATAATTGTAAAACGGTTAAATAATATTGGTTAAAACAATATATACCTGTTTAATGCACATTTAATAATAAGTTTGTTGTCATGGCTGATACCATTTCGCAATATTTTGTTCTGTTTGATATTCTAAGGGGCAAGGTAATTAGATGTTAATAGGGGATTCGTTATTAATCCAAGATTGATGGTTATCGTGAGCGTGATTCATATTATCTCTCTATAGTGTCTTTTAGTATTAGCAAAAATCCCAATGATAATTAGGTTTCAGCAGGGAGTGAAAATGATGGCGAGAGTAAAATGAGAAAAAAATAGTCGATATTTGACTTAATTAGAGGGACTGAAATCGAAATAAATGGAGAAGATTCTTCAAATCGTGTATCTGAAATGTTTACAAGAAATATTACTATGAGAGCATATGATAATAAATTCAGTTATACATTGAAACTTTGAGCTTCATAGCTTAAAGTAATATTGCCAAAATTAATATTTTTAAATTCTTTTTGATTAATCCTTCCCAAAATAGTGTCTTCTGTTTAAAATATACTTATATTAATCATGATTCATCTTAAGGGAAATAAATCTTTTGAGTTTATTAACTTGAGAACTGTACTATAAAAACAGTTAAAAGGTGGATTTACCTGTTTACAAAAATAATTTTCATAGAATATGTACTTATTCTTGTTCTCATTTAATTTGGTATTGGGCTGGAGTTTCAACATGCTCAAAACATTATTTAGAAAACCTATTTAGTTAGGGATTAAATCTAGTCTTAACTCACTTACATCAAATTGTAATATTAATTCCAAAGATTCAAGAGTTGAATGTTTTGATATTTTACCTAATTATTCTTCATTTTTTAAATATTTTGCAGCAATATGAGCGAATGAATTGAATGAGTTAGGATTGTGTTTACATTATAAATTTTCTCTATGAATTGTATGTTTTTATTATATATTTAAATGAAAACAGCTTAAAATTTTTATTCTTTAATTTATAAATATAATCTATGAGAAAATTTTCGATCCTTCAGCATTGGAGTAAAATTCTAATTATTCTTATAAGATACAATGTATTTAGATGTTAATTTTACAATACTTGTTAAAGCGGAGAAACATCATAATGCTACTGAATCCCTTAAAGAAGTTTCATTATAGATATGCATTATATTATTTTGAAAAATATTGCATTTTTCTTTAGAATATTGATGTTGACTTGCCATTGATTTTAATCAAGTGCTTACCTGATTGAGAGTAATTGATCCTTCATTAGATTCAATATGTGAAATTATCTAACCTTATGAGGATATCACTTGTCTGAAATTCTGAAAAAATTTAAACCAATTTGAATTTTGGAGTATGTTATTCCTTATTATTAAGTACATTAAATTACAAGTTGCTAATAATTTACTAATCATTTAGATTGTTAACATATAAGATGATTGAATAAATATATTGTTCTTAATTTTTCTTTGTAAGTTGACTTTAAACCAAAACTGAATCCAAATATAATAGAATCCAATTATTCATTGAAATTAAAGGCTAAACTATTTGCAATAACATCAACTTATTATGAAAAATAAAAAAAAATAAGAATGATTCTTCCATATCTCTAAATTTCCTTTAGCCTCAATTATTATATGTATAATTATTCATATCTCTTACATTCGGATTATTCTTGCTATTCTTTAACCTCCACTTCAATTAATTCATTTGGACTATACTTAATCAGATGCTTTACTATATTTTCTCTATCATCTGATCATTGATCGTTAGGATTGATATTAATAATAGGGTTATTTGAATTGATTTCAATAGCAATCAAAATGCATTATAATTTATGAAGTACTTAATACAGAGTTATACAACTATCAATTAATAAGTTGATAAGTGTGCGTTGAAGATAAATAATCAAACATATTTTTCTGAGCAGCAGAATGAATTATTAAATTAATATCCTATCAAGTAGGTCTACATGAATCAAGTGCTCATTGAAGCTGCTATTGATATTAATATATTGATTATGAAAACTAATTTTTCATTTTTTTAATTAAATTCTTTTGTTAAGTATTAAGGAAATATGCAGATAAATTAAGTGTTTAATTTTATAAAGCCTAAAGCATAATACCAAGATAATCTGGGCGACATTGAAAACTAAAACACTCCTCTTTGATTTTTTTACCTCACATCAAACAATCATACAGTTTTTTTATGAATTATTTGCTAGCTAAAATACTCATTGTTAGCTATTTGATACAACTAACATTCTAGAGTTTGACAAAAAGAGTATATCATTAAGCATGTGGAATCATGATGAAGGATTTACTAAGTATGAAGTTTATACTATTTTATTTGCTATTGAATGAGAATCATTTTTAATTTTTAATAAATCAAATAAAATGAGTATTGATCTGGATGCATAGGAAATACTAAATGCAAATCTACAATCAAGCCCTATATTTGCATAGATAGATAATCTAATCAAGATGGCAGTATTGTTTTGATTATCCTTTAATACCATCCTTTGCTGGAACATATTTTAAAGATTTTCAGTAATTGCAATAAGCTCTATACAATTGGCTTCCTTAGCATCACTTTTTTATAGACTATTTATTTGTTAAATAAGGAAAATAATAAAAATATATAGGTCTCAAATTATCTTTATATTATAAGGTTATGAATATAGATTATCTTCATTGATACCTTATGAATAAATTCATTTAATGGCCATAATGATTTAAAATTTCAATATACAAAGTAAGCATTAACATTTCATATTTCGTATTTTATTTAAAACCTAATTGATTACTGATCTATTATGACAATTTTGTTGAAGAAATACTTTAAACTTTTGGCAGATAAATTTTCTCCAATTTTAGAATTTATTAAGTTTAATTCTAATATTACACTTTCTACCTTCCTGCATCTATTTATTTTTTAATTTAATTTAACTTTATATTTTATAGAGCATGAGATTCTATAAATTGCCTTTCATCAATTATTTATTTTGAGGAAATACTAAATTTAGAATCAAATCAACAATTAAATTGAAATATTACTCTATTTATTTCTAACCATTTCTTTTCTATTTGATTGATATTTCTTTTAAACCTATTAACTATTTTATATATTTCTATCAGCATTGCTGCCTTTCAAAATTCAATAATCCATTCACTTCCACTGTGATAGCCTTGATGTTATATTTACTTCTGATTGAAGAATTTAATGCGTTTTAAAAGAATCTGGTCCAAAATTTATAAACTCAACTCCTTCTCTTTATTTATAATTTAAACACCTTTGCTTCATTCTTTATTTTATAATAAATTTCCTTGAATAATAGCAGAAACATACAAAATAAGTTAAAACCACCAAGGAGAAATTAATTATTGCATAGAAAGTTTGTAATATTCAATGGAGGTAAATAAGTGATTAAAAAATTGAAATAGATGTCATTTAATAAGATTTATGACTAACATGATGATATTGTCAATGATAAGTCTAATTTGTTTAATAAGATAATCTTAAATACAGTCTGATTTACCAAAAATGAATTCCAGTTATTTAATCAAATATTACGATGACAATTTGACAAACTCAATCTCTTAATAAATCAATCCCTTAATCTAAAATAAAATTTCAAATTAATAGAAGGATCAACAAATCTCATAATTTATCAATGCTTAATCTATTGAATTAGCATCGACCATTCCATAATCTAATTTTAAACCATTCACTTATTAATTGATATCATAAAATTCAATAAAATAAAATGAAGATTGTAGAGCTATTGCTGTTAATAAAGATTATTCAACATTAATTGCTACAAGTTATAAATAAATCAAAGTGTTTGAATTTAAATAAAGAATGCTGACATAACAATAAATATTAAGTTTATTTAAGAAAAATTTGAGTGATTATTCATTTTTAAGAAAATTCTTACAAAAATTGACCACAGGTCTAATTCTCCAAATGTCTTAGTATACTGGTTATAAGGTTCTCATAACATAGCCTTTTCACTTCCAAATTGCTTAATTGAGAAATCTGTGGATATTCGATTCATCTAGAACTCTTAAGAGCTTACCAAATTCTTGGTAGGATCATCTTGCTAGCCTACTATTCAACGTAAGGCCTAAAGACCCTAGAGGAATTACAGTCTCTTCAATATCAACTGTAAAAGGAATAGAAGTGGAATTTTTCAATATGAGAACTAGAGCTATAGCAGATCAACCATAGTTCATTTAACTTGATACTAACCTTAGAACTGAAAACACAACGAGTAAATACACATAAAAGTAACAAAAGCTTTTGGAACAGAAAATTAAAAAGTAAATTTATGACTGAAAAAGGTAGGAATCCTTGGAATGATATTAGAAAGCGAAAATTTTTCAATCGAAAATATTATAGTCAAATAATTCAAGACTCTATATAAGGCAAACTAAATCTTGCTGGAAGATTTATTAAATCCTTGAAAATAGTATTTTTCCTCGACTGGAACCTTTATTTTGTGCTTATCTAGAAATGCAGGAATAGGAAAATATTTTTAGTTTCCTTAAATAGTTAAGCATTGAAATTTTCTCAAAGGGGTCATAAATCTGGATTCGATATTCGACTCTCGCCTTAAGTGAATGAGAGAATGAAATTAATGCAGACCTTGTGACATAGATCACTATGCTGAATTTATAAATCCCAAAACGTAATCATTGCATGATTAAAATAAATGGAAGATACTATGATTTTTGTACTTAGTAATTATCATACACAAAAGTGTATAGCTTAACTTCATCAATTGCTATTTGAGCCATGCCCTTATGTTTAATATTGATCTCAATGGTTAATAAAAATTCTTAACTCTTATTCTGGATGCTCAATTTTGTTATTATCTAATTCCCTTGCTCTCATTCGATATTCGCATAAATTGCAACCAGGTTCCCATACTCTCTTTAAAATACCTAAATATTTTATTTATATGCAATCACATATCGACAGTAGTCCTCGCACTACATCTTTTGTGTTCTTAAAATTATCAATGGCAGCAAAATAGATTTAATATCTCTTGTGATGCTCAAATTATTACTTCGAATAACCTTATCCTCTCCAATCCATAGTGTAACTCCGAATATTTTTTGGAAGATTTTAAGAATTCTTAGTTTAATTTCTATATAGGCGGAGAAGTTTCCACATCCATAGTTCACTACAAATTGCTTGAAATCGTTTGGAAATACACTCTTTGGCATAAAAGCTATACGCTAATATTTTCTTCTACCCAATAAAGGGTAAGTAAAACATTTCAATATCTTCAGTCTCCTTTATTTCTTTCCCAATGTAGCCTCTCTTTTTGATGAAAAATATCATTCAAAGTTTGCTTGCCTTCATCTTTTAATTTAGTACTAACTTCTTGCACAATCTCGATTTGTAATCTCACTTCTATGATTGGTTAAACAGCCCTGACATCTTAAATGTTTTTTAGATAAGCGATAGGTTTTAATCAACAATATATATTAAATTTTGTAAAAGCAAGATAACAACTTTGTTTACTTTACAATTACTTTTATAACACTAGTATAAGAAATATTAATTTGGATATAACAAAACAAAAATTTTACCTAAAACAGCCAATTATATAAAATAGGTTACAATAAAAAGTTTGAAAAATTACTTTTATTGGTTTATTTTTATAATATTCATTTCTATAATTACTACTTACAACAATCTAAATAATAAGATTAGATTACCTAATTGTTTTTTTATTAAAACATCATTTGATTAGATGTTTAAATATTTTTCATAATATTCAAGGGCTTCCTGATAATGTTATTAATCTAGTAAACAATCTCCTAAAAATTTAATTAAAAGTTACCTTTGTGTCTAAGAGTAGATGTGTGATTAGGGTTGATGGCGAGTGCTTAATTCAGATATTTTAAAGAATCGTCATATTTCTTCAGTAATCGTAAACATTCCCCTATAAATAAAATTTAAGTAATTCTACCTTTATCGCTTAAGGATTCAATTGACTTAAAATCAATAGCTAAGGCTTTATCCAACTAAATGATTGAATCCTCATATTTATTTAACATTTTTAAACATTAAGCTATTAATTTAAATAGATTAATTCTACCTTTAGAAACTAATGAATAAATATTTTTAGGATCAAGAGCTATTGCTTTATCAAAATAAATAATAGCATCCTAGTATTTTTTTAACATTTGTAAGCAAGAGCCTATTAATTTACAATTATTAGATCAACCTTTTTAATTAATTGAATCTAAATTTTGAGGATCAATTTTTAATGCTTTATCCAAGTAAATGATGGCATCCTCATAATTTGACAACATTTTTAAACATGTACCTATTAATAAAATTACTTTATACCCTTACACGTTAATGATAATAAATTCTCATTATCAAATTATATAGATTTATCTAATTATTCTGTGGCTTCTTGATATTTAAAATCCAAATATAACTTATAACCTAAAAATGTTCAAGAAATCATAACCTTTATCATAGAGTTCTTTGGATAATTGTTTATCATTGTCATCAATTTAATAATAATTAATTGATGATAATTATAATTATTCAGATAAATTATCAAATGAATGAGTTAACGTCTTCATCTATCCTACTAATATTGTTGTCAGTGATTATTTTTAATCAGATAATTTGATTGTTGAATTCAAAAAATCATTTACTTATTAAGTATTTAAATGGCATAATCTTTCCATTTACAAAGAATATTTCTTTTTGATTCCTCTTGTTAATATAAAAAATGATTTATTCAGAATTTCTAATTATTTCTCAAGTTCATCAATTAAAGTGTCACATTCTCTATTTATTTTTTCAAGGAATTGTATAAGACTATTCACCTTTTCAACATCCATCATATGAGCATGATGGATTCCCTTTTTAATACATTGAAAGCAACTTAATCGAGATTCTGTACAAAATACATTATAGCATACAGTTTCTATCTCTTCTTAATGATCACCGTATTAACATTATAACTTAAAATTAGCTTTTTATCTCATTTAAAAATAATTATCTCAAATATAAAATCAATTTTCCTCTTATTCCAATTATCAAAATTATATATTATATCAATATTCTAAATATCATTTCTGGATAAATTCAACAGATTTTTGATGAATTACTGAATATTGAAATCTATTATTCACTGCCTAAGTAAATTTATTAAATTATTTTCTTTCCTTATTTTTGTTCAACCTTTATTCAAAATTAACTACAACATCTTAAACATCTTGTACCCTTTCTATTGTAATTTAACAGAAGAATAAGGCCATCACATAATTTTAATCTTTAGACCATTCTAAATTAATTCTTTGAATCCATGTATCCTTATTGAGTAACATAGTTATACTTTCAAATCTTCTTATATCATATGAATATCCATTCAACTTATTATATAGGGTTAGCATTAACGATGTTCAGGATTCATAGACGATTGGCATTCGCATTCCTCCTATTAGGCTTCTGCATATTTCATCTTAATCTGATTGCCCAATATTTGATTAAATATATATCCTAAAAATGATTGTTACTTTTTCTTTATCATAATATTCAGAATTGGAATTTTTCATATTTAATTAAATTTAGAAGTTGAAGCCATATCTGATGTAAGAATTTACTCTTCAAAAATGCATTCTTTGCGATTTGCTCTAACTTTTAATTTCCTCAAATAAAGGTTTTAATTTTTGGATAGTCATTATTATAAAAATTCATTGTATCCTCTAACATCAACATCTTGTTATACTTCTTTGCTTCCACAAGTCTATCGTATATGAGTACCGTTTACAGCAAGCCTTTGTTATTTAAGGCATTTTAAACAAGAAAATTTTAGTCTATTACCCTTGATCAGCTTAATTCATTCTAATTTCTCTTTAAACTTTCATAATTCCCTAAGTTACCAAGCCTGAATTATAATGAATCTTTATTCTTATTCTTAGCAATTTCTACTTTACAAAACGCTCCTATTTAGAAAACCTCTTCAGGCAATCATTAAATATCTATAATAAAAGTCAGGATTCTTTAAGGTAAGAAATAATTCTTATAGAATCATTCATCTTCTAGATTATTTACAGATGCGTTCATAAGTAATTAAAATCGATGAAATTGGGTTTTATTAAACGAATAGATGGGAAGAAAATTAAAATACCCAAAGGTTATTTTTGAACAAAATCAGATTTATAAATTTCTATTAAAATATATAAAATAGAGATTTTTTAACTTACTGGGAGGATAGTGATATAAAAAAGGTGTAACTGAAATTATATCGTAAATCTAATATCGGATTCAGAATTCGTTTACAAAAAACAACAATAAAACATTCTATTTAAAGACATTAATCAAACTAACATATCATTCTGCCAATTTTATGTAATTTCATTTAATTAATTTTTGGGGAGATGGGTTCTATAAAATTATCAAAAATAGAGGTGATTCGAATTATTTTCTCAAAATATACATAATGATTGATTTGAGGGAGAAAGCAGCCTTAGGATGGTTATTTTCAAAATACTTAGCGATTAAAGCAATAACTATTTAGAATAATTAAAAAAAACCATAATAATAAATATTTATTTAAATTAAGTTTTACACATCAAACTAAAAAGTATTAAAATTCAGATTATTTCACATTGTCTAAAATCAGTTGATTTTCTATCTCAAAGAAATTACAATCCATTAAATATTTGTTTTAATGTAGTAATTCCATTTAAAAATAAGTTAATTAGATAAAATTTGAATTAATTTATACTCAGAACTGTTAATTATATGGTTAACAATCCAAAGACAATAGTTAAAATGATTCAATTTAATTAATTTACTATTTAATTAATTCTAAAAAATATTATTAAAAATCTTATAAATGGATTATTAAATCATCATGCATATTATTATTGCTTTTGATTTTTAGATTTATACTTTATTTGTCTAGTGTAAATTAGGATAAAAAGGAAACAAGTTATTTAAATGTATAAAATTCTATTTGTAAACATCTTGTTATTTTTAATTATATGTATTTATAATGTTACTATTGCATTTGATATCTCGTTTTAAGCAAATAATTGACAATGTTATTCAATTTCATCACTATTTTATATTTCTAATTCATATCCTATTGTTCCTATTTATAATTATTGAAATTATTAATCAGCGAAAATCAAATGAGTAGTATTTAGTCTTATTATTTCCCTATTAAACATCGTTTTATGGAAATAATCATAGAATTATCTATCTTCTTAAACATCATAAAAATGAGAGAGAGCATTCTGAGTTTATTTTAAAATTATATGGGTATCATCTATATATTAAATTATCATATCTTAATTTTAAGAATTATTATAGGGAATTTAATTTCTAAACTATTTTTACAATAATAATTCAATTTTATCGTTTTTTTAATTTATATTTAATTAGAATAATTCTGAAAACAATTGTTTCACAATGAAAAGTTTTATATTAATTACATTTTCAGATTATTTACATGAGACCAATTTAATTGTGAAATCATATTCATTAAAATTGCTACTTTTTTTAAACAATTCTGAAAAAGTTTTTTTGGTAATTTTTAATGAGTATATCAATTTCATTTGTTTAAATTGATCTTGTACACAGCCAATTATAAATCAAACCAGATATTGATATCTTTCTATAGAAAGAGATATTAATCATTTGATTTTTCAATATATAGGATATCTAAAATAATGCCAGTTACAATATAGAAATTAAAATTGATACCATCAATAAAAATAATAGCATTATTATTATCATCTTTGGGCTTAAGCTTTATTAAATTACCAACTCTTATTGTGTCTGCAATATTAGTCAAATTTATATTAAAATTATGACTAATATTTGAGATCAATTTACAAAACTCATATTAATTTTCAGTACATTGAATTAATTCAATATTTAGATCGTCAAATAATTGTGAGATGCAAAGATAATATTGCTATTCTATCCAAGTCATATAAAATTAATTCCAAAGATAATCCTTTATTACATTAATAAAGTAATTTTCCAAAACAATCACTCTAAAACTTTACTTTGGTTTTAATGATTGAAAATGATATTATCTATAACATAGTGTTGAGGTTTATTCAGCACAATTTAAAAGTTCTTCCTTATATATAATTGGTCCCTTCAAAATAACGTTTGAATTATTAATAAGTGTCAAATTACTGATTGGGCCATAAAACATCTCAGAAAAATTTAATTTTAGCCTTTTATTGTTTTAAATTTCAATTAGAGATGATTTCATGAGAGAGTATAACTCATAGCATTGATTTTAAATTGAAATCTTTAATTCAATACTACCCTCCTCCTCTTTTAAGTTCATTGAAAAGTTTGATTTTAAGGTATTTTAATAAAGATTCTCTATCTCTAAATTGACTAAAAATATTTTCACGAATGAGTACATCCATACTTTTTCAAAAGAAAACAATATACGAAATTAATCAAATTAAAAAAAAGAATCGTCAGTTGCAATAATTTCAATAAATTATAACACAGACAGATTATATTAAAAAATGGCTATAGATAACGAATTATTTTATTCAAGTAAGATAGCTAAGCTATCAGTATTTATTGAGTACTTAAAAGGATAGTAAAATTAAAAATCTTTAAAAGTGTAGTTTTTAATCTAATGTAGTTCGTCATCCCAGAAATAATTTAGAATTAGAGATTGAGTTGAATTTTGTATTGCAAAAATCAAGTAACAGGGTTATAATTTTTAAATTGAAATGATTAATTATTCTTGAATTTGATAACATTTAAGATGTTCTTTATTTGAAATAGCTAACATTTTTGCGTATTGAATAAATTTTGAATTTTCATTCTCAAAATAAAATAGAATAGGTCCAGGTTAATAAAGGTTCTTTGATAGATATTTGTAGAATGGTTTTTTCTCAGGATTTGTTGACATAATAAGTGGCAAATCAGAATCCTTTGTGTAAATAAATGCATTTTAAGAAACTTGCTTAACATTTGTAATTACATTGTTTAATTAGATATTGAAATACAAAAGAGATTCTAATTAAAATTTAACTCCTCTCAACACATTATTATTCTTATTATTTCTGCTGACAAAATAATATACCAATTATGATTCAAGTACATAATATTAATCTAAGTTTACTGAGTTTGAAAGTTTAAGTTGTTTGCAATCATAGATATAAAAATATGATTCATATTGAAAACAAACATAGTCATTTATTATTTGTTTTAACTAAACCTTATGCTAGAAGTAAGATTTATAAAGTCTTATTAAACAATTTTGTTGAGAGTATTAATATTTGCTGATACTTACACTAATACTTCCATCACTATTTTTTAAATCAAAAGTAGCATTAGCATTATTAAAGTATTTAAAGTTCTGTGTTATCAATAATCTTTAGTACTTCGTTTGACAATTATTTTGAAATTCCATCAACTCAGTAAATTATAATTTTTCTTTCTAATTGTTATTATCCTCTAAAATTCTAAAACACTAAACAATATCATCACTTTTAAATAAATTGTTTCTCTCAATTACATAGACAAACTTTTGCCTAGGTTTTATAAAAGCACTTAATGGTTTGTATTAATAAAATTACAATACTTTTTTGGTTTAATCAAATTAAGAGAATAAATTATTAGAATCAAAGAAGTATAATGAAGTGTTGCAAATTTGATATGTCTAATTAATGCGAGCATTTATTAATATATTCAATTCAAATTAGTTTTATAAAAAAAGAAGATTTGAATGGAAGTGAATATTGTCCATTGAATATTTTTAATCCAGAATGATTTCTAATTATTTTTAAGTTTGAATTAAAGATGAATTGGTTTTATCTAATTCATTCACTAAAATAATCATTGAGCATTTCTGCTAGAATATTATTTTTTGAATTTTCTTTGTCTATTGTATTAAAAAGTAATTTAGATTTTTTGTTTCATAATAATTAAGATGTATTAACACATAAAAATTATCTTGGATCAAAATGATACTATAAGTTTATTGATTACGTTCGCAATAAGTCACGTCATCAATTAAAGAAAGGTTTGATAACTAAATATTCTAAGACTTCATTGAAGCATCGAACAAAGTGTGAGATTGATTGTTTTTAATTTACATAATTTTCCATCTCAAACATTGATAAAACACAATTAAATATTATTCTTCGTTCCTTCTGATTTATTTTTTTTTGCATCCATCCTCTATTTGGTCTGAGACATCATATTCCAAACTTAAAGTCACACTCCTTTAAAAATCCAAGTAATATTATTTTAATGATGACGAACCAAGACAAAATAAACTTAAACTTCCATCTTAATTTGTAAATAATTCATCACAGTGTTCATTAGCTAATATTTTTGTATCTATTCTAATTAATTCACTATAATTAGTTTATTCCTCATACAAAATTAAATCAAATCCCATACAAGTGATATAATAATCGATATTAACAAATAAGGAGCATAACAACTTCTCTTATATTTTATTTTGATTCAAAGAATTGATTACTCTTATTAATATTGGTTCTTCTTTAAATGGAATTTAGAATGACTTTTATACAATTTGAGTATTGATGTGCTGGAGTTCTTAATAATCTTCTTCATCTCCTTCTAAAATATAACATTCTGATGTGAATTAATAACAAGTGATTTAAGGTTGTGTGATCAATTCATCGCACTTTGAATTTACATGGTTAATAAGGTAGCCTAATAATATATATAGAATTTTCATCTTATATAATTTAATATATATATTCAAATGTAAATGATTTGAGAATACGTCTTTAAAAGAATCAAGATTTATTTATAGATACATTTAACCTAACCAAAAAAACATTATCACCAATTGACATTACATGTTTTTTTATATTACTTTTTCAACTATAATTGGAATTTGCAATTTTAGATGATATTTTTGATACTATAAATTTAAAAGAGTTAATGCTAAAGAATGAAAGATTAATTAAATAATTTAGTTATTTTAAGATAATAATATGATTTGTATACAATGATGCTTCAAAATTTTAATAACATTATACTTCGATCCTTTTATAACATAGTTTCAAACCTTATTCAACTTAAAATCACGAGTGTACAAATTATTGTAAAGCATCTTCCACTTCTTAATTGTACCTGCAATTTTGGAGATATATATAAGACTTGAAGGAGTTAATGGATTACTCATGTGCTCAGTATCAAATGCCCTGTGCTACTTGCCACCTATTTGTGCTAAATGTTTTGATGAATGTACAGAATATACTACATATTCATTTTCAATTGAAGCTTTTTGTATAGCTGCACAGATGGCTGCTACACCATCGTATCTTCTAATCTTATTTGTAGAACTGAAACCTATCAAAATATCAGCATATAAATTAATGATAAAAAGTAGCTACATCTGGTGGATCTGAAGAAGGATGCAGTATAAACAGCATAGAAAGCTGGAATACTAACTCAAACTGTCGCTAAAAATTTGTGAGGCTATGTAAAATTATAGCCTTTATTAAGTTTTTGATTTGTAATGCTTTTAATGGCAGGCGTGAAATACTCTACTTGTAAATCAGTAAGTTTAAAATTTAGTTTCTTTATAAACAGATCTTTAGTAGACTTATTATTTATGCATTTTATCTCTGATTGCGTTGATGTACTTCAGTTTTATTATGAGTAAATAAAAATACAACCCTTAAAAGTACATCAGCTACGCAGGTGATGAACAAAATCATCTTATCCTGGGGTAGCTGTAAAAATAAATCATCATAATTAATTGTTCATCATCACGGGATATAGCAACCTAAAGTTAAATAACTTATTCTCACTATTATTCTATTGCAAATTAAAAACTCGTTCTTATAATATTGCCTATATATTTGTGCACAAACCATATTGTGGTGCATAAAAATGGCCAACTTAAATAATGGCTATTATTAACAAAGTATCTTATTATTCCATCCTCATTCAAATGCAGGTCAATCTTGAAGTAACCCTTGCATAATTTGCTCAAAATATTGCTCGTACTCTTAGAATACATATTACTTTTTCTATTTGGCATCTTATTTATTTTGATTCCCAAAGGTAATAGTAAATATCGAATTGGATAAAATAAAGTTTTACCGATGAATTTTATCCATAATCTTAAAGTAGTGAAAGGATAATTCTAGGCTTCCAAAATGTTCTTAGCAATTATTATTTTCTTGTTTGCAAGGATGAGAAGGAATTCGTGTCATTAAAGATGGGAAGTACTAAGAATTATCAAATGAGTGAATGTGAATGTGATGTGACAGATATAGAATGTTAGTTAACAGGGATAGGATGTAAGTACAGAGATGAATTATAATTTAAAAATTATGGGAGAATGCAAAGGTGCAGAATGGAAATGGGCACAAGAAAACGATTAAAGTCTCTAGATTCTACCGTTGTAAAGAAAGAGCAATTTGAGAATGCATAGATTGAGATCCATCTGAAACCACTATGGAGATTTGCTTAATTGAATCTTTTGGTTATGATCATTGGAAGGACAAAAATGTTGAAGATGCTAATCAGGTAATTTCGGCCTTTTATTAGAAATACCGATTATGTTGATTATATTCAAATTTATAAATAATTTTCTGCATAAAACAATTTATGAAAAATCATGGCTCTTACTTTATAGTGTTCTTTTGTCTTGAAATTTTAATATAGAATTTAAGTTTGGGTTGTTTTCGATGAATTTCTTGAAGGTGGAACACCCTCAACTGAATCAATACTTATAGACATACAGAGAAAACATACTGGATTAAGTTGCTAGAATTATAATTTTTACAATTAAATGATTATGAAATTTAAGCAGTGATTCCTGAAATAGAATTAGAAAAGACAATACCGATAAAAGCGAAATTCAGTTTTAAAAAAAATTTATAAGATTTAATGTTAAAATTTTTCAGAGATTTTAATAAAAAAGTATATATTTCCAACTTCGATAGATGAATACAGTTGGGATCAAGCAAGTGGACTGATTTAAGGAATCTAAATTTCTTAAAACATATGCTGCTCAATTTGAGCATTCTTTACAATAATCGAAAGTAAAGACTTGATCCGATGCTAATTCATATATTCACAGGCGGTATATCTCCTTTTTGTTTTTCAGTATATTCTATTTCACAATGATCATGTTTGCCCTTTATTTATTTGATCATGTGGATGACTCAATGAACGTCAATGAATTGAGTTTATTTAAGAACTTACTTTTGATCTCTTAATAAAATGCATGAAACTCTTGATTTAATCAGAGACAAAATAATGGCCTAAATTATAGGTTTCCTATAGAATTTAAGGTTGGTAAATACGTCCCAGTATAAAGTTGGCAAATATTCTTTAAAGATTTGATACGATATAATTAAATAATTTCTTGTTCAATAATTGATCAAACAGATGATTGCGAGGATTATTTGCAGTTTACAGCATCAACCATTTTATCAGGAAGTTTGGTTTCAATATAATTTAAAAGAAAACTTTTTTTAATGTTATGGATTAAATTATATAAACGATAGGAATATTTTTTCACTTCAAAACCTATAACTTATTTTAATAGAGACTCAAAATATTACAATTTATTATAATATTTAATCTGTAATAAGATTTTATTTCATTAGATTAATATCAACTAAGAATAAGGATAGCTAATTGTGGGACCAAATAATTTTGGATATAACTAAAACTTCACCTTCCATATTCACATCCTGATTTTAAATCAATTAGTTTAAATCCTTAATATTAATAAATTTCTTTTTATCAACAATTTCCTTTCAATAATTATTGTCTTAGTTAGTTTAGGTTTAATGCTCACCAAAAACTTCTGAAAGATTAGCAAATTTTAGTTATATAGGTATCTTGTTGAATACATCTATGCAGCTCTAACTATGGATGGAGAATATCAAGGCAAGCAAGAAATGAAAATAAATTTTCCTAAATTTTAATCCTTATGAAAATTCAGTTATTATTCTAATTTAAAAGGATCTGTTTTTTTAATATTTTTTTTTATATTCACTTGATAAGAGATCAATTACAACTATTTTGAAAAATATATTTAAGTCTAGAATTTAAACGATAGTTAAGAGAACGTTATTTCTATATCTTACTTAGAAATAAAGTAAGGAAAATAAAACAAAAATTCTTATTAATAATAATAAATAAAAAGATGGTAACTTGATATTTCCTATTCTTTAGTTTTGTTCTCTTTCATTTAATTATATGTTTTTTAGACTGCTTTATTATGTTTCAAGTCATTCCTTGAAGTTATTTACTTAATCATATCCTTAAAAAATGAAAATAAAAGGTTTCAATAAGACTCGTATAAATTGAAGTTCTGAATTCTATTCTAAAAATAAAAACCCAAGATTATACGAATTACTAAAATTGAACAGATGAAGATAAAGATAAATTGAATAGCTAAACAAAGCTTTAAAGAATATAGCAGATTCCAATAAAAAATAATTCAACTTTTAGAAAGTTAAAAATGGAAAAAGAGAAGATTCACCAAAGGAAAGAGCAGGTAATAGATAAACAATTCCAAATTGTTACTAACTAACTCCCCTCAATTTAAACATTAATTGCTTGTTAATGCTTGAGTTTCTAAGAATTGATGATCAGTAAATTCAAAGGAATATTTCAAATGGTTTTCTAAAAATAAACTTTAGAGAAACAGATAAATTTTACTTATGCAAAGAGGGTAAAATCTCGAAAAGCAATAGGACCTTTAAAAATAAAACTAAGATCTACACTACTAAGCAATTTCCTTTTTAACTTCATTTATGGTACTTAGCTACAATAAATTCACATATTACATTTCTCTACAAATACGTTTAAAGTCCTTTGACCGCTTATAGATGTTCCATAATAGGCTTAAGTAGAGTTAGAGGAAGTTCCCATCTAACTATTATGACTGAATGTCTTATGAGATATTACATTTTTTCTTTGTCACCAAAAGTTGAGAAATTGTCTGAGATTATCTTTCTGAACCAACTGTAATCCCTTGATCAGAGTCTTCAATTCCCTAATCTCCAGTTTTTTTGACATAATTTATTGAACTTCTTCATCAAGACTAAAATTAGAGGCTAAGATATCTCCCATTTCTATCAACTTTTTTGTGACCAACTCGATACATGAGAAACTTTCCTAAAGCTCCTTCTGAGATGACGTTGACCTATAATGGCTCTCAGAGAGTAACTTCTGTCTTCTCTTAAACAGTATCATTTTATAATAATTTTAACATTATTTTAAAGCATTTATAAATTAAGTAGTCTCAAGATGGATTATTTTTATTTTTTGTCCTTTTTTATATGGATATAGCATAGTCGAGCTAGTGTACTTAGAAGGATTTTATGTTTATTTTATTAATTTTTTTCAAATAGACTTCAAAGTTTATTCTAAATAGAATTAATCTACTATCAAAAATATAAGCTAACTAGAAGTATGGCGCTCCACATTATCGTGAAGAATATCATAGGATCGTTTTTCTCCTACATAAATCAAGAATTTCATTATGATCTTGACAGGTAAAGAATAAAACTCCATAATAGATCGATTATAACATAAATATTTGATTTTTTTGTTGAAAGAATCCTCATGATTAAAGACTTTATAATCATTTAAGAGGACAGGAAATTTCAAGAAATAAAATTTCAGATTTGAATCTGTAATACTAAGTAAATATATAAGCTTGTAGAGATCCAAATAAAGATTGTTTGAGCTAAATAAATTATTGAATAATAGATTTCTAAATTCCTGCAATAAATATTCATTAATGAAGTAAAAGCCTTTCATTTTAGTAACTGAGACTTAATTAAGATAATTTCGTCATGTGTGTTATATAAACATTCGGTCTGGTCATTTCTGCTGCTGCATGAATATTAAGAGGAAGATAATGATAAAAAAAGTATACCAATTACTGCATGATAATGTCTTCATGCATACTACATCAAAATATTGCACTCCTTTATTAAAAAGCTAATAACATGTTTTTTTGGGTTGAACATACATATCAAATTGGTTTGATAATTAAGTATTCAAGTTTCCTTGGGCTTGCGAAATACATAATCTATGTTAATCACATTAGTACTATATTTTTGATAATTAACAGTTTTCTTTCAGAAATTTAGCAAACTAAAGTCTACGCTTGTTAGACTTAAGGTTGTTAATGAAATCATCAAAAATAACAATATTAGTAGTTTGGTATTTTCGAATAATTGAAGTGATATTCTTCTTTAAGGTGAAAATTAAAAATGTGAGTAATAATAAAAATCTAGAAATTTATTACAACAAATAAAATTATAAATTAAGAAGCTATATTACAAAAAAAAATTATCAATTAAATAAGTATAGGTGTTTACAGAGAAATCTTGTTGATGGTTTGTTTATATATTGTTTTTTACTTTATTATAGATTCAGTAAGAATCAAGCTATCCACAAGCTTAAGTGAGTTGTCAGTATTTTAGTTTACATTAATTCCAAATTTATTTAAAATTTTCTTCCTTCAAAATTATGCAAGATACTTTTTTGTTTTGTAGAATTAAACTCAAAATAAAGAAATAGAAATTCAATATTAATTTAAAAAGAGTATGAATTGCACTTATCATATTCAATATTCATTATAAACAATATGCATAGCTCCTCACAGATGTTAAAGAAAACTGTGTGCTTAATGCCTTTTTCAACATGAAATTAAATCATAATATGCAATTCCGATTGATAATTTTAAAGAATTGGTTTTCAAAAAATTAAAAGAATATAATATTGAAGATGCGATATTTTGGTTCGTGAAAAATAAATAATTAATTGCTCCTTGCTTTCATGTTTTTAATCTAATTCTTATTTGATTTTGGGCTTTAAAAACTGCATAGAATAAATTTCTCTCACTTTTTCTATGTTTAGAGTAGAGCTGGTTTGTTCGAAATATAATCTTTTGCATCTCATGTATATTTCCGTTTGCTACTGTTTCAAGTTGCACTGGATGCATATAGGGTTACTTTCGAGACGTTTTTAAATTTCCTCAAGTCTTTGTCTGTTAAAACTGTTTTCTTTGGCGTAAATGGTATTAAGCCCTTAATGGAGACTATTGTTCAATAAATTTAATTCTTTTACCTCCCTCAAGTATTTGCTATGCTTGAAACTTTTTGAAAGGAGATCATTTCATTTATAAATACTATACGGATGACTAAACTGGAGAAGACTCTACATCAGCTTGACATATATCCTATTGAAGCATTGATACTGGATTAGACAGGTGTTCTTTCTCATTTGCTAAATTTAATTTATATGTACAGTTGCCTGCCTACCAATAAATGTTCAAACAATTACCAAATATGTTTTGCCATCACTAGATAATTACATTGCCTTCCAGGGCTACTATTTATGATCTCCTTCATCAAAAGGTATTTATGGAGAAGCCATAACTGAACATTCCTACATTTAATGTGTACATATTCTATTTTTAATAAAATGTTTCATATTTAGACAAATTTCGATTAAATTTGATCCTTAAACCAAAAGCGGCTATCTGTACTTACTATATTAAAGGGTGTATTCCAGATGAAAGAATTAATTTTTAACAATATGCAAATCTAAACTGTTCTGATAGCCTTGTTTATGTTGCAGTGGCTGGGCTTTTAATACTAATGTTTGCACAGGATTTGCATTCATGTGAGAATTAATTTGATAGATATGCGAAATGCTCAGCTGGTGATATCAGCCATTCAATTGAAAACAAATATTTAGTTAAACTTGTGCTGTTGATATGTCTGATTATTATTAAATAATTGTGAGTGGCAAAGTTTGCAATTCTTATCAATTTACTTCTTGCTTTGATGTATAATTATGTTGTTATAGAGTCATGAACTAATTCAGGTATTACGAAGACTGAATTCATAAAAGACAATTTGTAAGAGCTATTCTATTTTGATCATCAAAAAAATTCTGTAAGCTTAAAAGATCAATTTGATATTGGCCAATCTGCAATTAAGGCAAATGATGTTTAGCAGTATAAAGTAGTAATTTCAGACTTTAGGTAACTAACACATTTAATAACTGATTGAATACATTAATGCTTCAGAGATTACACTGTTTTAGGAGTGCATACTGTAGAGTATGACTGCGCAATAATATTGGAATCGAGCTAGTAAATTTGTAATGAGCAGTATAAATAAAATGTTGCAATGTAAGGGCATAAAATGATTATAAACCTAGACAAAACAGACTCATTTAATTAATTTGTAATACCTGAAAATGATGAGAATAAAATTTTCATGAAAAAAATATGCGTATTTGAACGTTGAGTTCTAGAGTTAAAAATTTCAAATGATGCTTTCGAACTATAAACTTTTGTTGGTATCGCAGAGACTATAGCCGCAAAATTTCTTGATGCTTCGTTCCTTTAAGATAATATTTATTCAAAGTTATCTGTAAATTAGAATTGCATTAAATGTTAAGCTAGTTCAACTCTAGTTTAGGTTAATGCCATGAAAAATTGATACATTACTGATGCTCATTTTCTCCGTCCCAGTTACCTTATGCTGCTTATAAATTAGCTGTGTCAATAAAATATCATGTTTTCTCAATTTTATAAATTATCATTAATCATTAGTACTGTTTAACTTTCTATCGCCACTGCCCTTCCAAAAATGTACTAAATCTTCTTATCGGTTCGCTACATGAACTGTACAACTTGATGCATAGTTGAAATTTAATTATCTATATCTAATTTATGGATATCAGTTTCTATTGGTTAAAGTCAATTTGATTTGATAGTAATAGATGGCTCTACTTCGGTTTATGAATACTTTCAACTAAAAGTAATATCTTTGCAAATTTGGCTAACTATATGATCCAATGGACAAAGTTCCTTAGACTCAACATTGTTAGGACCTTTCAAGAATATGTTCAATGTTCATTGGTTTTCGATTAGGCAAGCTAAGACTTGCTTCTAATTTAACCAGCCAAATAGCATGACATTTTTGTAAGTATTCATTTGAAATGGTGGGTCTTCCTTACGGAGAAGCTAGCTACAGATTCTTCTCATTATCTCAATATCCGTCTTTATCACCATGTTTTTCTACATCCAGCAGCAATTATCCCAATTCCAAGAATGAAAGTTGATTTAATTTTATCAATTCATGAGATCTTAAGTAAATGCTCTTTCATTTATAATTTTCCAGTGCGAGTCTTTTGACCGATGAGCATCTCTCACAAATTTAACATAAGCTCTAACTTAGAAAGTGGCCCCATTGATGAAAATCAAATGGATCTTGACGCATATTCCTACGAATTGCTTGTTTTCATCAAGAGAGTCTCATCATTACATTTTTAATAACCCTAGCAAAAAACTGAATCTCAAATCTTCCTTTTCATTAAATTTAGCCTAAGGTCATCCACATTTATAACATCTTGGCGAGATGTCGATGAATGAGATTTAAAAGTCAAAGAATTTTTGTGTATTTTGACAACTGCTTACCGAATTGTTAAATTATTCCCACAATAGTTTGAACCATGGTTCCTATTCTAGGCTTGTTTTCAGCCATAAAAGCCTTGTTGAAAAATCCACAGATGAAGTTATCTAATGTCTTATGCATATTTAATATCTTGAGCATGATAACTGAACCCAGTGAGCTGTCCAAGCAAATCAGTAATTATCATAAGAAATTCCAATATTCAGATATTCAATCTTTTAACCTTTAGCATGGAAATATACTGTTATTCGTGTATTATGTGTTTATAGCTATAATTTAAAAATTTTGAATCAACATTTGATTAATTGTGTAAGTGATGTTGTGATGCTGAATTGTATAAATATACTTCCATTCTTCCTGTAGATTATTATATGAAGCATCCCCTGAAAGAAGTTCAAAAATTATCATTCATATTGTGATATCCGTAATGGTTCATTTAGTATAGAGGGTATTATTTGTTCTTTAATGCATAATTACAACATTAAATAATTGTATAACTATCGTTTTAAACTTTATAGTGTTTTTATTGTGAAAATGTAAAAATTTGAGGTGAAATTTAATTAGATATAAATTGTTCAAATTAATAGAAGAGATGACATAGTAGTTCTTCAACAAAGTCTCACTAGCCTCGTGTCGAAGCTGTATTGACAAACATTAAAAGGACAGAATAGCAAATACAAGAACAAATTGAGGAAGGTGATCCTAATGATCCTCCACGCTCAAATTTATCTGGGCATTTCCAAATAAACTTCATTCCATTTATCTTATAATAATAGTAGGAGTTAAGCTATAATTTTAAGTTGAGAGAAAATCAAGAATTAAGTGCAAGTTATTAAGTAATTTTTGCTTTGAGTCAAAACTATTAAATAACAAATATCGGTTGATAGGCAATGAACATAAAGAGAAGAGAAGCAAGAAAGCATTGAAGTACAGTAAAATGATAAGTCAAACCAATCTTCAATTAAATGGTAAATTAAGAGACTTAGTTTCTTAATGATTGAAAGGTTATTAATTTTGTATAATTGAGATGTTTGTGATAAGACTAGCTGATAAATAATAAACACACATACTTGTAAACGGATTATACTAAGAATATGCTTGCCGTGTAGTAGAACGTGAGAACATTTGTAAATTGTTCTGCATAAATAATTCAGAGTACCTTATTTTTAAGACTCATCATAAGAAGAATTGCAAATACTTGTTGATGTAAACTATGTTTTATTTTAATAATACATGTAGTTTGAAATAGATACATCAATTGTACAAAGTTTGGACTTAAACATACTAGCAACCATTTGGCTTTTAAATTTAATACTTAGTACATATACAAGATTGTGCGCACTCCAAGTATAAGAATTTGGGTTTAGTGCATCTTGATATAATAATTCGTAGAAGAACAATTCAGGAAAATGAAAAATTATGCAATAACGACTGCATAAAGATGAGATGAGGAAGAGATAAATACTAGTAAATTAACTCAATATCTTCAATTAGGATTGTATAAGAAAAACAGAATCACTATTTTATTATCACAATGGTAACACTAATTAGAATGGCTACCAATTTAAATTGCTTTTTAAGTACTCATTTTAATATTTTATTTTAATATTAAATTTTTCGCCTTTGTTGAGGCTTCTCTCAATTTATTTTAATTTATTCTTCGACTTAGATTATACAAAAAACTTCTATTTGATTTGTGGTTTACAACTAGATTTATTTATATAATTTCCTAATCTTAAAAGTTTTGTCAAACAACTTCAATAAATATAGCATGTTGGCAGATATAAGCTGTCAAATGAATTCATTTCAGTTAAATATACTTATCGTTAGATATTTTGATCTCAAGCAAAATACCAAGGAGCCACTAATATTAAAAATAGTAAAGTTTAAGCTTATATGATGCATTAGTATAATCTCTTGATAAATAGCAAAAATAAATAGTGGACATATCCTTTTGCAAAATGATGATATAATGAAGCTCAGAACAACATTGTATATTCAATAAATCAAAATTTCATGTCTATTTTAGAAAAATATTAATTGATTCGATAAAATCATTGCTTGCTAAATTATCTCTATGTGATTCTTATTCATTTTTACGAACAATCTACTGAGTTTCATAAAAGTAAGAGTTTTTTGAAGTTATATTATTATGTATAAAGAAATAATGTGTTTATTTCAATTACAATAACTCGAATTGGTAATGTAATTAAATTTAATATGAAATTATTTAATTTGTCATTCTTGAAATTAACATGAATAAAGAACGTCTGCTTATTATTATTTTATAATTGAATTTTTGTTTTTGAGTGCTTAGGCACTTTTAGCAATTGCAAAAAGGGCCAAATCTCCTGGAAACAACAATTTTACAACAGTTTAAATTTCTCTTGGTCTAAGTGTCTTTCTATTTTTATCTCTAAATCTGATTAAATTGCTGATTTCAACTGTAATTCTATGGAAAATATCATTGATGAATTAATTCATGATATTCATAGCCTTAATAGAAATTTCTAATTCTGGGTGAACTTATTTCAAGACGTTGTATATATATACTGCATAAGACTCTTATCTTTTCGCCTTTCTCTAATTATTGTTTTTTTTTGTTTTCGCAGCCTTAACTGTTTTTTTTGCTCCAACCTTCCTGAATCCCATTAATTTTTAATAATTTTGAATGAATCACATTTTTAGATTTAAAGCAAATTCATTAATCTGATAGAAATCTGATTGTCTCATTAGGCTAATTAATATTAATGAAATTTAATTAAGAATAAATTTAAAGATTTAATCAAATAGTTAACAGTGCTGTTTTGCTTTATTTGTGAGTTTACATATCATTTCAAAAAGAATTAGATAATCCATAAATTTGAATTATAAATATGATATTAATTTAAATCAATAAACATTTTCCCTAATAATATGCGTAAAATCTTCAATATCAACAATTTTATAAATGTAATTAGTTTATGATACTTCTTGATGTAATCAAACAATAATTTTTTTGATCCAAATAAAGTTAGTGCTTTAAAAATTCAAAATATAAATTAGGGTAAATATTGAAGATTGTTAAAAATTGTTGTCCTTGAAAATTAATAAATGAATACAGGTAGGTAAAAACTTGAATCAAAATTGTGAAGTTTTTTGGATAATTGAAGAATTTAAATAAACGATAATTTATTGAAACTTTAGAGTTAAAATCTTAAAATACAAAACCTGGCATTTTGTTTTCAAGTTAACAATACTTAATATCTCATTAGTTTATCTATATTGTAGGTTTTAAACTTATTATGATCAAAAATCATATTGATATCATTTATAATAATCCCTATCATGAAACTATTGTAAAATCTATTCTTCCAAAAATGTTTTAATCAATTATCAGTGTTATTTTAGATATATATAGGTGAATCTACCATTATGCTAGCATAAATAAATAGTTTTTAAACAATTACTGTGATTCTTTTTACCAAATAGTCAGTTTTAAAACATATTAAATAAACTTTATCAGTTCTAAAACATCTCATATGAATTATTTATTAATTATTTAATACAATTAATAGAAAATGAATATACTATCATTAAAATAAACTGAAGATTCATAAGAAACAATTTGTAGGACTCACAATTTGGAATTTATTGCCGTTGATTTGGATATGTCAGATAAATCGTAGATTTAATTCTTTTGTGGCAAATGTTTAGTGGATAAATTAAATAATAATAAATAACAACTATTGAACAATCCAAAGAAAGAATCCTAAAAATAAAGAATTAATAACTAGAAATTAAGAATAAAGAGAACTAATCAAGGCTTAGTTATTATAAGAATATATTGGAACAAATAATGGACTTTAAAAGATTTATTGATGACTCTTTAGAAAAAATATACAAATAAATATAATAATATATATATCCAATTTAAAAAGAAAAATAAGAATTGAATGAATGTTAATTGTAATTGAATTACTTTGAAGATATAACATAATTATCAGAATTATATTTTTAAGGAGGTCAATCAAAATCGGCTAAGTTAGTTCAAGATAATAATTTTATAGATGAAATCACAAGACAATTTGAGTTACTCTTTAATAACGCCGAATATTTTTAAACTTTAGATACTTTCAAGAAAACAAAATAAACAATCTAGGATATAATGGAAAATAATACTCTTGAGTTGCCACCATTAGTATCAGCAACAAATGAATCAGTAAGAGAAATAATTATTAATAGAAAACACCACACTTAAATAGGATATGTACCAACCACAAAAAAGAAATTATAATGATTGATATGGACTCTTAAAATAAAAAAATTGAGGATCGGTTTGTTTGCGTTGATTGCATAGCTGAGAATCCATAAACTAAATATTCTACAATTGAAACTATTAATAAATAATGGAGAGCTTACAATTCAGAATCTGAAAAGATGTTATCACAGTATGAACAAGAAAGCACAAATAAAAAGAAAGAGTTATTCAATTAAATTACTTATATGAGAAAAAGTTACAATTAAAAACTAAATGAAATATGTGATAAATTAATTGCCGAATAATTCTAACCTATTGATAGAAGCAAATATACCAAATATATAAGGAGAGTTAAAATTTAAGCTTTAGAAGATGAATAATTGTTTAAAGACTTACAATAATTAATAGAAAAATAGAAGGTGATACAAAGTTAAACAATAACAAGCTTAAAAAATAAAGATTCAATATTTAAAAAAGAAATTGAAAATCATTTAGAATCATTGAAAAAGTACTATCAATAGGATGTACAACATTCAATAGACATTCTCAAAGAAATATCAAGTACTAATTTATAAATCTTTATTAGTTGAAAGAAATTTAATATTAGAGTTATAGGAATCCATTTAATAATTTTCAAATTGCGCTTAAAAAAAGGAAGAAAATAAACAAGGCTCCATAGAAATTATCAATGATATTTAGGAGCTGATAGATTAGGCTAAAAATTATTAATGCTAATTGAATCTATTTGATTAGACTGTAATTCTATATTAATAGCATACTTGTAAAATAGACTAGATTAATTAAAAAATTTAAAATTTTACTAAAGACCATGCAAATAAATCAGAATTAATGAACCCTTCATATGAAAATTTATTAAATATTTTGAATGATTATACTAACAATCTAAATAATAAGAGTAAATAAATGAAGAAATATTGTAACATTGAGAAATTTGAGTCAGATTTAATCAAACTAACTGATCTGAATTAAATTTTAGACGATGAAAGTAATTTCATATCAATAAAATATAGAAAAAAGCCTCCTGATGTAATTAGATTAAAAATAATAAGAACATCACGACGCAATTATAAAATTAACCGAGAAAAGTACTTGAAAACTTAATTTTTAGATTAACATCAAATCAATGAGATAAATGCAAAATTCTAATAAAATGAAAAAGAAAATCTAACTTTATTAAATTAAAAAAGCGAAGAAATAACTAATCTTAAAAAGTTAAATGAGGAGGAAAAACTAAACGTTATCAAGAATTTAGAAAATATAAGTAAATAGTTAAGTAGATATGAATAGAGAACAGTGAAATTTTAGAATTAAATACAAAAATAAATCAAAAGGAATCAGAACTATAAATAATTAAAAGTCAGTTTGATCAAGTAGTTTATAGTTATAATTATTCATAGATTTAATATCTCAAACCATTATTGTTTTCAAATATTTATAAGCATAATAGTTGCTAAGTAAGTGAAGGTGGAAAAGTTGTTGAATGTAATGGTGGTTATTATAGTTGTCTTTGCGAATATGCTATCCCAAAGACTGGAAAAATATCAATTACATTCTAAATGCTTAAAATAGGATCTTATGCCTTTGTTGGAATTGGATTTAGGGATTTTATACAAAAAAATTCTTATTCTGGTTATGGAAATGGAGGGTATGAAGTTAATATATAAAATTAGTTAGTATCTAATAAGCAGTGATAGATACACTTGTTCTCATCATAATAAATAAATAATACAGTGTCGTCAAAATTTGGCTTCACTACTAATGATAGGATAATAATGGAAGTAAGTGTTGAATAAAAATACATTAAATGGACTAAAATAACAGAAGAACAAACAACAGTTGTAAGAATAAAGTTATACTCCTTAGTTGGATTTAGATACATCCATATCATAAGAATTATATCCTTGCGTGTGTCTTCATAGTTCCAAAGTAAAAATATTGGAAATTAATCTTTTTTGATTAAGATTTTGAAATAAAATTAATAAATTAAAAATGAAAGATATAGTTCTTTTATTTTTCTGGTAGAATTCGAATGCAATTATTCCAATAAGCAAAAGACATTAATAATCTGGTCACCTTTAATAAAAACATATTCCCTAAAATTATGATAAAGAAGAATTTAAATATATTGCATTTCCGGTTATTTCAATCATTGATTTAATATTGGCAATAAAATTGAAATTTGATTAACTTGAACAAAAAAAAATATACACTTTATTTTTGGTTAAAACTAATTTCATTTCAAACAAAGAGAATAAAATTTGGCGTAATTTAATAATTAGGTATTTTTGAATTAGGTAATTAATTCATTAATAGTAAGAAATAGCTTTGAGAGCCTATTTTTTCAATGATTCCTTCTTGACTTTATATTGTTTTAAGGCAATTTTTCATAAAAAAGTTAATATCAACTAAAACTATTTACAGAATTTCTATTTTAATCTATTCTAGTCATAACTTTGACTTTTCAATATATTCTAAATGAAATTCTTTATCAACATCTATATATAGGCTTGTGATGATTAATTATCAACATAGCAAGTACATTTTTTTTTGATTATTTTATCATAATCTTTTTAAACAAAATTCAGTTTTTTCACTCCTCTTAATTTGGCTAGGAATTCATTATTATAAATTTCAAAGCTAATTAGGATTATGTTTCAACAACACCACCTATGATAGTAAGTTTTCATCTTCTTATAGTTCAGATATCCCTAGAATTTATTATGATATTTATCAGAACAATCATATCTATGAATTCGATTATTTTCATTTTCAAAAGTGATACTAATTGAATAAAGTAATATTTTCATTTAAAATTTATTAAACTAACTAATTAGAATAATAAACATTGATAATTGATTAATTGACATTTTCACACTTATAAACTATAAAATCAGAATAATAGCGATTAATAATTCAAATAATCTTCTAGATTTAAACATTTTTTAGTTTATTATAATGCCATATTGATCTAATTATTTTTGAATTTAGGTTATTTATTTTCAGTATGACATAGGTGATGAATTATTAAGAACTGGTAAATTTTAGATTAAAAAGGTTTTAATTTTATACATAATTAGATATATGTAACAAAAGCGTTTTAGCATTTAATATATTTGACATTAATTCCTAAAAATACACTATTGTTTTATTTCTTAGATTTAAAACAAGGAACATTAATTGAAATTGTACCAATGACTTAAATATATTTTAAAAATTCTGAAAATTGATTCTTTTAGTTTTTGGTAATCAAATGCATTCATTTTTTCTGACTCAATTGTTAATTTTTAAGGCTCTTTTTATTAATTGTAAAAGAATTTGATGAGATCTTTAAGTCTCCCTATAATCTCAATCACAAATCTATTGAGAATATTTTTATTTATTCCTATTATAATTGATCCTTATTGACTGAAAGAG